CTCGTGAGCTAGAAGCTTGGCGAAGGAAAACTGTGAAAGGGGAAAAGGGCGGAAACTAGGAAAGATGGTGTGGAGAGCAGTGACCTACTTTCCAGAACGGCATTTCTCGTGCTCGCCCGTTTCCCCTTCGGTGGAGCCGCGTCAGGGCCACGACGGGAAGGGACAGGGTAACGTCTCCTCAATTTCTAAAAATCGTCGCGTGCGCCCGGAACAGAATGGCCAAGTGGCTTCACCGACGCATTTATATAGAAGGGACACGTGATCTCCCTCACAAATCCCCCCCCCCCAAAAAAAAAAAAAAACGATTCTGATGGGTGCTGTGATTTCACGGAAAGGATTGGGACAGACCACCCGGGCCTCTCAAAAAGCTATGGCGTGTCTCTTACACCCTTAAGGAGTTTTTAAAGGGCACGTCGGACTTATTGAAATCCTTTGACGGACATCTTAAATGCGTCAAACATTTGTTTTATGAATGTGTAAAAAAAACATTTTAGAAATCCTGGTGGGCCCCATAGGTGAATTTGCAATAGGGATATAATAAGATTAAGATATCTCAATGCGTAATTTTTCCAGCTTTAATATTGTATTTTGCTTATGATCTCATTGAAAACGAGCGAACATCCACGGCAATCATGGGCGCCAAGTGTGGAATTTTTTATGAATAACTTAAAAAAATAAAACGGTATCAAATCAATGACGCAGCCATGCAAAACTGGCTGTAACAGTAGATAATGCATATGGAGGTGCTTTCAAAGTATCTCCCTTTGAGGATAGAAAAAATTTAAAATATGGCGCAAACCCTTCCATATCAAATGCAAAAAAAAAAAAAAAACGGGTAGCGTTTTTTTTAAGTTACAAATATCACTACTTTTTTAATTTTTTATATTTACGCGTTGTTGTTTTGTCGATTTTAGCCTTTACAGTTCAAAGAAACGCCCAGAGACTTGAACGTCTAATCACTCCGTCACGTATCGTTAGCATTATAAAATTGGGGAAACAGAAAGGTTCAATATCATACAGGCTGCAGCGCTACACTGGAACAATGCATAGCGTCGTCTGTACAGTCGTTTACATTCGGAAATGTTCTTTTTGGGGAGCTTTGATTACGAGCAGGACTGCCGTGCCTGTTGAACGGAGAAACGGGGGACCCTCGCCATCTCTCGCTAGAGCGGTTGCCGCTCCCGCCGCGAGAGGGCGAGCAACGAGTAGCTGTAAGGGTTTTGGGGTCCAGTGAAGCTGCTTGGACACCATTCCTCCCCAGCTCCCACCATACGTCTACGATAGAAATAGCTCATAATAATTGTTACGGAAACGAAGCAACGAACATAAATAACCCAATGTAAATTAATGATATAAAAACAAACAGAGGCACAGGACAAATACTGGACGAAACGAGGCCAGAATGGCGGGGCGAGGTCTAAACAAATGAACGAATGAACGCGTGCTTCAGTGGACGATATGGTACTTTTAAGAGTCACGAAATGGCTCAAAGAAGTAGTGAACTCCGCAACAAACATTGGTTAAGCGCTGGATAGGCAAAGTAGGCCTAAAGAGAACCTTTGAGCGAAGAGAAAAAACGACGAAGTATTTACGTCGCGTGACTATAATTTTAGTGATTCTTAAGTGCTCACCACATATTAAACACGTCACGGTAAAGGCTAATCAAATTTTAGGTTTTCTAAGACGACACTTACATTTGGCAACACGGGAAACAAAGCTGAATGCATACACATCTCTTCTTTGTCCCAAGCTGGAATACGCATCTCTTGTATGGAAGCCGCATCAGTCATATTTTATTGACAAAGCCATTCAAAACCGTGCCACCCGCTTCGTTCTCCGCAATCATACCCGTACAAGTATAACAACACAAAAACAGCAAACTAATATACCCCTTCTAGCTGACCGACGTAAAATAACACGACTAACTGCCCTTCATCAGCTGTACTATCATTCACCCTCAAAGAAAGAAAAATATTGCCCAGGTGCTCACGACGTCTCGGTACGCACAGACAACTCACAAAAACTTCAGCTTGCCACTCCTAGAACTAACACTTTCAAATTTTCTTCCTCACAGTTATCTATATCAGACTGGAATTCCCTCCCCGACGACATCGTAACAGTAAAGAGCCCATTAGATTTCGTTCCGCAACTGCCACTCTTTACAATATGTAAAAGAGAGCGGAAGGAGGAAAAGATTCCTAACTCTTGTTGACTTGTATCTGTATTAATGTTTTTGCCCCCCCCCCCCTCCCCGCCCCCCCCCCCCCCCCCTTTATGTAAAGCTCCTACCGGGCGCTATAAGTGTATATTAAATGAAATGAAATGAAATTTCATAGTCGATGTCTTGAGGGAAAAGAAAAGTATGTTTTGGAATGTCTTCTGACTCAAAACCTTCCCCGCGACGTAAATCGTCAGCTAATATTGCCTTTTTGACGGCGTAAAAAAAGTTTTTTTTATTTCCTCCGAATTTCCGTTGATGAGTCTTATGCAAACGGGCAACTTGCACGTGTTTTATTTATAAGCGTGCAAGAGAAGGTTCTATTTTTCTTTCGATTCGTAGGCGAGAATATTAAAACGGGTTCCCACTTGCGGGAATATGGTTAGCACAATGCACCTCTGCGGATTTAGCATCAAAGCAGTTTCCTATACAACGGTGCGAATTACAGAAAGAAAATCACTGACTTCGTTTTCGGCCACCTTTTATGACATATGCGACTCTTATCCCAGCGCTTGAAAAATATTTTCTTTTTCTTTTTTTGGCAGCACAGTGCGTCTTTAATTGTCCAAGCAGTCAAGTCGGTAGTTTCAAGGTGACCTACCTACGCGGCTCCACGGCTGGTCTCCAGTCCTGGGACGTTGAGGGCACGGCACCATGGGACGCGCCCGTGCACGGCGTGATATCTCTGACCTGTTCGCTCGTGACCGTTACGAGCTGTCCGCTGCTTCCGCCGCAACCGCTCAGCGCGTTCCAGAAGAAGTCGAACGAGGACTGCCAGGCCGGAGCATCCACGTAAGACTGTGGGGGCGCCAACGGGGCGACCCCGGGCTGAGGTGCACCTTCGCAGGGCGGTGTCCCTGGTGTCGTCCTTTCCACGGAGCTGGAGGACTGCGTGCAATATGTTTTCCCGTTCGCGGTCGAGTTGAAAGTCGGGAAGCGCGGGAGTCGAACTCCGCCAAACCAGATGTATCCTTTTGTACGCGTCTGGGAACGTTCCTCTTAGATATCGGAAGGCAATGCGCGATGGATGGATAGATGGATGTAAATTTGTAACGGGCGGCAGCTTGCGCCACCTAGCCTAAATCTACAAAGACAAACATATGCCATCAATGAGGGCCTAATAACCGCAGGGAGTGTGTTAATATATGCACGCTTCTCGCTTTGCGATTCGCTTCTGGGTATTCGTCTCAGTCTCATGCCGGAATCTGATTGGTTGTGGAACGGTAATAAGATGCTCGGAGTTCGCCACGCCTAGAGCACTATATAGCTCCTTCGGAGCAGAGTATACGCAATACAGAACGCCATCTTTCGGCGATTAGCGGCGAACGCCCTCGGGGTTCCAACTCTGATCAGAAATGCCAGGGGAAACTGAAGAAAATCGCTGTTTCTTCCATATTGTGGGGATTTACGGAACGTCAATAGTTTTTGATATAATAAAGGAACATTTTAGAATAATTAGCGCTAAGTTGCGTGCCATGTAAGGGCGTAATTAAAAAAAAAATTGCCTGAGCGGCATCATTCAGCAGACGACGCGGCGACGTCACGGAGACGTTGCACCGTCGACGTGACCCGCTCCGGCCAACCCAGGAAGTCCATCGCCGCTGCGTACAAAATTCGTCTGCTTCAAACGCCATTGCCTTGAAAATTGCCTTCTCAAAATTTTCACACGCATCCGATATTATGGAAACTTTGATAAAGTGTTAAGTGCTTTACCAACTTCACGACAGACTAGTTTCGAAAAGTGTGAACTTGGCGTTTATTTTTTAATCAGCCGAATTGAGTCGATCTCGATGTATTCTCCCATAGGGCGGGCCGCCTCCTGGAACCCTGAGTACCACGTGACTCGCGCCGCGCTGCTCTGTCGGCCATGTTGTCGGCGAAACACGCGGATCAAAGGATTGCGCTACTCTGCGCCGTAGGAGCTATATGGTGGTCTAGCCACGCCCGGCATCTCTTAAAGGCTTGCTCCGGCGTTTTCTTTGTGGTCCCCGATTTGACTGAAAATTGTCTAAACACACACACAAACATCCCTGAAATAGTACTCCAAAGATTAGGCCAAAATAATTTTTGTTCGCAAAGTTGTATAATTTACAATTTCGGTACACTCACTCTTTTTGTCACGCTGGAAGACGCTAATGGCAACAACAAAAAAGTGACGCCGGCGAAAAGAAAGGGTCCGCTTTTCGAACCGCAGAATTTGTTCGCAACTGATCGCAAGCAGTTTCACCTTGTCGAATGCAAGCCGCGGAAGCGCGCTCGAGCACCTGCGCGACGGCACGAAAACATGCGCGGCATAGTCGATTTTTCTAGACTGCCTGCTCGACCTGCAAGCCTGCCTGCCACTGACGTCAGGGTACTGAAAAGCGCGGGCATGTTTGAATGTCGGTTTCGGCATCATTTTCATTTGCCGATTTTACATAAGCTATTCCGAATTTCCCGATACTAAATATTAAAGTGGAAAGGGTAAAGGCCGGGGATTCAGAGGCCGGATTCTCAAAAAACATCTTATCTTACGAAATCTTAGCCAAGAAGTTCGTAACTTAAGAAGTTCGTAACTAAGATCAGCCGAAATCGGTATGCTCGAAAGGCTTCTCAGCGTGTTCTTAGCTGCGAACTAGGGAACGACCAGGGAACGACAGAAGGCGCGAGAGGAGCGAGAGAAAGAGAAGCTTCCGGTGTCTCGTAACCGACGAGAACAAGCGAGAGGGGTGTGTTTCTATGGCGATTCTGACGACAATAGCAGCAGGTTTGGTTTGATAGTACTGCGCGTAGTTGAGATCTCATGGCGTCTCCACCACCTGTCAAAAAGAGCCGAAAGGCCAATTTTTCGGACAACGAGCTGTCGGCTCTGGTAGACGGATACGAGCAGCGCAAAGTGGCGATTGAGGGAAAAGGGAACAGCGTGCATGGCTCGATTGCCAAGCAGCGGGCTTGGGAACAAATTACTCGCGATGTGTTCGCAGTTTCCGGCATCCGAAGGGAAGTGGCCGACATAAAAAAGAGATGGGCCGATGCCAAGAGCATCAACAAGAAGCGAGGTAAGTCAATCCTCAAGTTTTGGAGTTCGCGAACTTAAATGATGCGATATGCTTTGTATTAATGTAAAAGGCAAATGTTCGGCGCTAGCACTGAGTCAACGCACGAGCACATTTTACTCCTTCACAATAGTGCTTTTAATAATGTTGTTGGCATTAGACGCGCTAGCGGAGATGACTCAGCTAGATGCATTCTTTTGCGAACATTTATTTTATGCTGTCATACACTGCGGAAGGTTCCCGCCTTCTGTCAGCAACGAAGGAGGTTTTAGCAAGCGTGTAGTGACAACTAACAGTGTTAAACCAGTTCAATTTTGCTCGAGATATTAGATGGTGTCCGACACAGAAAAATCTCGCGAAGTTTGAGGTCATCCTTACGCACGTTGAAAGGCATACCTGTTGCCCAAAAGCCTTGGCTAGGCAATGAAAACCGGTGATCGAGCAGTCGCGCTTACAGCAGCCTCCTTTGTCGGCTACGTTATTTAGTACTGACACAATACGCAGGTGCAGCCGTGAAAAAAAGTCAGTGTGCCACTGGAGGCGGCGTAGGTGACGAGCCCCTCAACGAGATGGAGGAGAGAATCGTGGGGCTGCTCAACATGGAGTCGGTGGAGGGCATCCCAGGCGCCTTTAACATTGGCGTTGCCCCGATTCAAGAGGTGTTTGTGGGTGTGCCCTTCTCCCTGCCACTCTCGGGTAGGTATGCGCAAGCCTGGATTAAACACTACCTTTCTTCATTAATGGTTTGCCTAGAATTATGTTGTCAAAACATTATTTGCAGCCTAGCATGTGCTTGTCATGTTTGTTGCTTTTCTTGGTCAAGCTAATTTTTAAATACAAATTTTCAAGGTACTCCTGCCAGGCCGAGCTCAGCAAAGCCAGTTCCCTCAGTTGGTGAGTTAGCAAGGGTTCTACTTCCATTGCAAAATATAAAATAATAGTGCCGTCCAAGCAAACTACCAGTTAATTTGTATGTACCCGCCTAGTATGTACCTGTCACGTTTGTTGCTTTTCTTGGTCAAACTAATCTTTAAATACAAAATTTTAAGGTACTCCTGCCAGGCCGAGCTCAGCAAGGCCAGTTCCCTCACTTGGTGAGTTAATAATGTGGGCTGATTAGTTGCATGGTTAATGTTTCTCTTCATTACTGCTCTTCAAGCAATCCCTGTAACTTCCAGTTTTGAATTATCAATCGGATAGCTGATTATCCAAGTGATTTGGACTGGGACCCACATTGTATGGACAAGCAATACCTTACTGTCTTCCCAAACACTGTTTGCTGGATCCGTACAGTGTATTTCTGGATCTTGTTTAAAGGGGCGGTGCAACGATATTCAATTGGAATGTTTTTCACTTTACACGAGCTTACTGGCGCTAATGGGACTCAAGGATACTCGCACACAACGGCACTGACCAAGAAACTCCTTTGTTGCGCTGTAATTTCGAGGACAAAACCGAGCGTTTTCATTCAATCTCTCCTTCGCAAAACCTGATGACGTAGCTCGGCAGTAGCAGTACCGCCCAGTGACGATATTTGAATGCGGCTTATAGATTGGACCCGAGCATTGCGTGGGCACTCAATTTGGGCTCGTGATAATCGACAGCTCGAGAAGCATTCGGGTAGTGTCCTGTGTCCAATCGCTGCAATGACGACAACAGCCGAACCATAACAATGTCTGGAACGCAGCGCGTTTCCTATGCCTTGCCAACCCCAGCGCATGGCTATGATCAACATTGGCGGCATATAATCGGCTCCAGATCACGTGGCCACTTGTTCTGGCTGCGAGTTGAGGGGATGACCTCTGCTCGTTTTTCTTTATTTTTTTCTGTGACTTCGATTGCGTGTGGAGAAAAACAAACGGGTATTTCACAGGTCATAAACGTCACGGATCCGTTCTAAGCGGTATTTGCGCAAAATACAAAAATCGTTGCATCGCCCCTTTAAGGCACCACCATAACGGCAGGCAGGTCCACGGTTTTCTACCATAGCAATCATAACATTACTTATAATGGTTATAATTACATTACCTAATCACAACCTTTTCGGTCATTCAACCTGGTTGGTAGTCAACGAATACGGTGGCCGCCAGGTGCAGGTGTTGCTGTTTGAGCAATCAAGCTTAGTTGGTACAACTTCCTGCAATCTCTCAGTCCTGTGTTAGTGAGCATTTTTTTTCCACGCAGAGTCTGTATTTCCTAACAGCAAATATTTCGGTACTCAAGGCTGTTGGCTTTTCTATTTAGATAGCCAAGAAGCAAGCACGAGCACGAGTGGCCAACCAGAAATTTGAGGTAGCTAAAAAGTTCGCCGGAGTCCCATGGGAACGTTTCCTGGCATTTTTGGTTTCAGCAGCAGAAATGGACAACCATTGAAAACATGCCGATGCCATTACAATGGTAGGGATAGTATCGATCATTACCGCGGTCCTTGACCCTCGACAATTGTAAGCTTAGTTATTCTCTCTAAACACCGGAATCTGCATGGTTGAAGAAACTAAGAAGCAGAAGTAGAAAAAAAAAAAAAAAAAAAAAGACGACGACGACAAGCAAGCAAAGTTGCTTTTTGTCGTTATTTTGTTGTTTCTATACTTTCTCCACCTAGTGTCAGTTGTTCTGAGAAAATGGTAAACTTACACCAGCTCGACTGTGCCATCACTGTATTATTGTAGGCCGATTAGCCTAAGAAATAGAAGGAACCAAGACTATCGACCTAAATTTGGCGGGAAAATTGCGTGTTACATTGGCGTTAGACTTCCAATTACTCATTTGTTTTAATTACTTTGTGGAATTCCTTAAAACATTCTGTGTGAAATGAAAAAAAATATGTCGGACCCATTGAGCAGCAGTAGAACTGGAATCCTCTTTTTTTTCAATGACCTTAAAAACTACATGCGAATTATTAGCAGAATTCATCTCAGCATGCATAAGTAGCGGAATTTTCGGGGAAATAAAATTATATGCTCGCAACTGTTTCGCGTTTCAGTGTTTGACGCTACAGGTGTGGTAGGCGTTAAATAATAATAATAATAAATGTAACGCGTCACGTGCAAATAAAATGAACGCGCAACTGACCAACGTTACCTCGGAAAAAAAAGAAAAAAATAACACATTACCATACACTCTAAGAAATGGCTGTGCGTCTTATACTTTCCCGCAAAACATTCGAAGAGCCAGTCTCTGCTATCTAGGAAATCAGCTCAACGAGTGATGAGGCGGAACATCCGTTTAGACCTAACAATGAAGTCTGCGCTGCGGCATTACACAATGCAAAGCGTCCTGCCTTTCTTGCGTAATGCCACAGCGCAGACTTAATTTTGAGGTCTAAACAGATGTTTCGCCTTATCATTCGCCGAGCTGATTTTGTAGATCGCAGAGATTGGCTCTTCGAATGTTTTGCGGGAAAGTAGGCGCGCTATCATTTCTTAAAGCGTACCGTGACCGATGAAAAGCACCGCACGTTACGTTTGCGTTAGTTTTGATTTTTGAATGAAAAAGTTGTACTGTCTTGACGTTACGGGTATGTGTTTGTACATGTTGTCTTCATTATAAAATAAAGCAAAATATATAAAAAGGGGGTGCAAGACGCATAGTTAGTTCCTCGTGGAGCAGGCATATCTGTCGTCTTGCTGCAAAGAGAGAGAAAAAGACAGGTAGAGAGATAGAGTGGTGGACATTACTAGGTCTACCACTGCTTGTCAACGCAGAAAAGGGGGGTGCAAGATTAGCACATCTTCTTTACAGTTACCTGAATGCTCACGAGGAAAAACGCGAACGTGTATATAAAGCGGATGTACAATATGTTTTTCTGAAGTTGACAGAAGAAGCGACCTCCCGCATTTGCTCAGAAATTAAAATTAGCTGAGTTTGAATTCAATTTTTTTCACAACATGCATAGGTACAGATCATTGTTGTTAGCAAGTTTCCCCTTTACACGAATCATACTCAGCTGTTATACTTCAGTAAGAGCTAAACTTCTAAGTTGGCATTTTTCACTTTGTCTCGTTTCTTAGTGAACGTTTGGAGGTATTTAGTATGAGTGCCAGAATTCAAATATTTTGGCACCTAGAAACCTAAACAATTAAAGTGGCGTTATGTAAGTCTTGGGAAGAAGATGAAGCGAGTGACTAACTGTATCGCGCGTTAACTGAAATAAGTAACGCAAGTATGTTACACGTTATTTTGAAAATGTAGTAAGTACGTTTCAAGTGTTACAAAAAATTACCCCGCCACGAGTAACGCTGTTACTTGTAAAGCGTTACCGCCAACCCTTGGTGCTACACCTTCTGGACAACTTGGAGATCCAAGGCATGGAACCAGATTTCCCACATACGAAATCGTCTGGTCATTTCCACCGCAAGGGGGCCAAGTGCAGTTGACCACGCGAGCGGCGCTCCGCCGCAGATAAAAGGCCGTCGCAAAATGTGCGCAAGGACTTTTGGCTCGCGACGCGGGCAATAAGAGCGGAGCAATGACTACGTGTCGTTGAACCGGTGAGTTATGTCATTCTGCGAGGTGGGTAGCAGGAAGGGAAATCGTACAACCCTAAAAGGATATGACGGCGAAATTTCGGCACTCATTTCTTGGTCTTTCGAGGGAGCAGTATCACACCAAACACACCAATCTCTGATTGAGAGAGACGCGGAAAGGAATTTAGAACGAATTAAACGATCAGAAAAGAGCACCTGGTGGATGTCGGTAAAGCCTCGTTTGTAATACCCGTCTAGGAGCCTTGACAGGTAGTGACGATAGGTAACCGGACAAAAGCTCACCGGACAAAAGCTCACCCGTTTTTTGACAGACCCGGACAAAAGCTCACCCGTTTTTTGACAGACCCGGGCAAAAGCTCACCTCGATTTCTTTTTTTCTCCCTACCCGGGCGAAACAAGGGCTGAAATAAAGTGCGGGCGCAATAAACATTAAACCATTTTTAGGAGAACTTGTACCTCATCCACCATTGAGTTGCGAATTTTTTAAAAAATACTTTGAAAGAGCGGGAGTTTGGCCTATTGGAAAAGTACAAGACAGATGACCAATTTAGAAAATTGTGCGGGATTTTAGATAGGCTCGGGTTCCTTCCACCACAGCTTGTTCCACAGGGAAAAGTCTACCGGTGACATCGGCTACCTGCTGGACTACTTTGACTGCACGTATGTCAACGGCCGCTTCCGTTATGCTTCTGTTCCATCTGCGGCGGCACCCAGAGCGAATTGTTCCCTTCGCCTGACTCTGCGCCGACGGCGACCGGAGTTTCCCCCGGTACGGTGGAATATGTACGACACCGCTCTTCAAGATAAAGACCGGATGAACACCTCCGAAAGATAGAGTACCGGATTCCAGAAGCTCGTCGGCCACGCCCATCCAAGCGTCTGGAGGCTGATTGAATGCCTACAGCAAAATCAGGCGCTCGTTGCCACGGCATTGACAAAAGCCCGGAGAGGTGAGCCCACTGTAAAACTCTGAACTCTGAAAATATGGGTGAGCTTTTGTCCGGGTCTGTGAAAGAATGGGTGAGCTTTTGTCCGGTGAGCTTTTGTCCGGTGAGCTTCTGTCCGGTGAGCTTTTGTCCGGTGAGCTTTTGTCCGGGATTCGTGACGATAACTGTCTCGCCTCCGGCCACCACGAAAGAAGAGGGGACGGAGGAACTCCACTCTTCCTCGAGGCTCTCTTTTGTGTGTCTCAGACGTTGTTATTGTCCCTCTACAAGATTATAAAAGATTAAGCCGTCACTCAAAATCTGTACAAAAGCCACTTCGGGGTTAGTTGCGGTGGCCCGATCGCTGGCGTGCTTCGGCCGCTTCGATGGCTGGAACGGCTAAGACATCCTCTTGACGTCAGCCTCGCCGCAGCTTTGCTCGTCCCGAGACACTCTACGTCACGATTGCGGCGGATGTCACGCGCTCTCCGCTGGTTGCTTTCTGAGCGCTTGCCAGAGTGGGCATTTATACCGAAAAATGCAGCCGTCAGGCTCAAAATACAAGTGTGTGATTGTGATTTACGGATATTGTGGATCATATTCAGCCTATTCCTGAACACGACAGCTATATTCGAAATTTCTTTGAAGGATCCCTTTAAAGGCCGCAGGCAACATTTTGGTATTTTTTGATTTGCCTCAAAATTGGTAAAACACACTAATACGCGCGTCTGAACAAATAACCCGAATTGCAAATCGAAAAAAAAAAAAGATTAGTTTGCGAAGTTATGGAATTTTTTTATTTTTGTCAAAGAGGTTGAGAGGCTGTACTGGCAACACTAAAAACCGTGACGCCATGTGTTGTAATTGGGGGGCAGCACACCGCGTTTCCGCAATTCCTGACGGGTTGCAAATTCGACGGTGTAAAAAAAATGCTAAAAAAAAGTAAAAAAATATATTGCGCAAAACAATGCGTTAGCCTTAAGTTGGGCTAGTTGGTACACGTTAGGTGTACGTGTCAGCTACAATATAAACACGAAACCACAAAGAGTAGAGTGACGAAAATACCGCTGACTAACAGCGATAGGTTATAATTCCTCTTCTTTAACGCTAAGTACTTCCTCTTCAGAGCGCTCAGACAAGGTACCGTGTTTTTAGACTGCCTGCGCGACTTGCAAGCTGTACAACCTGTGACGTCACCCGACACCACCTAAAGCACAGGGCCAGCGCCTTATGTCATTGTTCGTCCACGCGGCTCCATCCTGGCGTCGCCGCGTGCTGGCTTCGCGCTCGTTGTCATACGCTGGACGACGCGATGGCGGGGATGCTGACGCAAGCTGTGCGGAGAGCAAGTCGTCCGCTTATTGCGCAGGAGTTAAGGTGACGTCAGAAGGACGCCGATCTCCGATGGGCTCTGATTGGAGGATAGTGGGCAGACCTCCAAGCATGCTGCCTTGAGGTCTAGCCACTATCTTGCACTCAGAAACAATCGGAGCTCGACGTTCTGACGTCACCACAAGCCCTGCAAAAGAAGCAGACGAACTTGCGGTTTGCATAGGCGGTGCTGCCTGAAGCCACTAGGGAAGGCGTACGGGGTAGAGGCGCAGGCCTCGTCTTTTTCGTCGCATCCTGCCACCCCGCGGGAGAGCGCGAGAATATTTGAACGTTGGTTTTGGCGTAAACTTTATTTGACCTTCTTTTGTAGTAGCTACGTGGAATATATAGGTAAAGTAGACGGGATGCGCAGAAGACTAAACAGTGGATATACCGAAAAAAAAGCTTATAAATTACATAAGTAAAAAAAAAAAAAAAAAAAACGACGGTTTTTTTTTTTTTTTTTTTTTTTTTTTTTTTTTTTTTTTTTTTTGCAAGCGAATTTGC